TATCACTTGAGCTTTTTCTGCTTATGTGGTGCTGAGGAATCAAACAAAGGACCTCATGCATGCAAGGCAAGCACTCTACCACTGAGCTACCTTCCCAGCCCCATTCACTACATTTTCTAAAACTAATGAATTTTAATATGTTGGCAGAATTGGAAACTGCAGTTGTTAGGTAAAATGCCATTTTATTTACAAAATCTCATCATGAGAAAACTGAAAAGAAAACTTTTGCTGTAATGTACACATGAATGTACATATATGTAAATATGTTTGTATAACATTGATATATACATATGCATGTGGAAGAGATATAAATCATTGGTAAAGTTGTCTTTTCCAAAAAATTCTACACACAAAACTTAGGAATGTTTTAGAACTGTACTGTCCATTGTAGTGGCTGTTGAGCAGTTAAAAACTGGGGCATAACAATGGTGGAACAAAGGGTGAAAAAAATGCAACATTGGTTCTCATTAGACGCTATGTTGAAAATAAACTGTACTACTTGTGGGTGGGAATTGGAGGGGAAAACTGGGAGAAAGCGAGAGAAGGGATGACATTGTCTAAAAAGAAATATACTCTTTATCTGACTTACATAACTGTAACCCCTTTACAATAACAATAGAATGCAATAAAAATGTGACTAATCTGAATTGAGATGTTATTAAGTATAGAATACTCTGAAATGTAAATATGAAATAAATTTAAATATGAAAATATATTTGAAAACAGTCTTTTATATTGATTGGTAGTATTTTGAATATATTGGATCATATAAAATATATTATTCAACTATCCCCCTCCCTTTTTAAAAAAAATGTCGCTATGAAATTGAAAATATTTGGGGGGAGGGAAAAACTGGGAGAGTGCTAGGGAAGAGATGACGTTGTCCAAAAAGAAACATACTCTTTACCTTATTTGGGTAACTGTATCACTCACCTCTGTACATCACCTTTACAATAACAATTTAAAAAATGAGTGGGAACAACCCATATGTCTGATAAGAAAAAAATGTATTTTTGGCTTGCATGATGTTTCTGCTAGACATTGCTATAATAGACTCCTTTTTATAGTTGTTTATGACATAATTTGAAGGACATGAATGTATATCTTATTTTAAAGCACCTGATAATCCTCTCTTGAGGGCTTCAATATTTCTGTTAAGAAATTCATGCCCCTTGTTTTTATATTGTCTATTAGGAAATTAGTCATTATGGTTTTAATAGAATCATTGTTCATAACCTCCATTTCTGTAATTTCTTTTACTAAGTACCAGTCAGATCCAGACCCCAAGGAAACTGACATTTGCAGTAAGAGGATTATGAAGCCACAGATAAGAAAGGGGTACTTACGTAATTTGCCATGTATTTGCTGCAGTGTGCAGAGAAGGTGGAAACAGTGATGTACTGGTTTACCTTGGAGCTGGGGAACATGGTCATGAGATCACAAGAGAAGGAGGAGAAAAATAGCATCCAAGTCATATTTCTTTAATCACCTCATACCAAGTTCTGCTCATTTTACAAGTCTTTCTTAACCAGAAACCTTTAGATGTATGTTTAATATATTTAAAGCTAATACTGGCTTAAAACTAATTAGTGTTGTTTTCCAGCAGGTGGCATGGTTTTCACTGAAACTGTTAGATTTTTCTCTTTGAGTAAAGTTTAGTTATGTCAATTGTACTTTCTTTCTTCAGTAGGTCTTAACTCTGGCTATAAAATTTTACAGGAAATAACCTTGAATTATTTGCCTTTTTTTCCTTTGGAAATGGAAATGAGTACATGGTATATATTATTTTTCCCTTAGCATGTCTTTTTTTGTTTTGTATATATTTTAAAAAATTTAAATTGTTATTATAAAGGTGATATACAGAGGGATTATAGTTATATAAGTGAAGTAATGAGTACATTTCTTTTTGGACAATGTCATCCCTTCCCTTTCTCTCCTAGTTTTTCCCTTCCATTGCCACCCACAAGTTGGATAGTTAGTTTTCAACATAGTGATTACTACCGCTGCATTTGTTCACCCTTTGCTTAGCGTGTATTTTTGAAATGAGTTTAATTTAACAAACATATCTTCAAGTGATTTTTTTTGTTGTTGATATGCAGGTACTCCCTGTTATGTGGATTCTGAAGGTTGTGTTCGAATGCTTAACAGAGCGTTTGGTAATACATGGACTCCTGTATGTAATACACGAGAACACTGCAAGGGAAAATCTGATCACTATTGGGTGGTTGGTATCCATGAACATCCCCAGCAACTGAGGTGGGCTATTATAAAATGGATAAAATTGGCTTCTTTTATTTTTTTGTTTTTGTTTTGTTTTGTTTGTTTTTGCCAGTCTTAGGGCTTCAACTCAGGGCCTGGGCACTTGACCCTGAGCTTTATTTGCTCAAGGCTAGCACTACCACTTGAGCCACAGCGCCACTTTTGGCTTTTTCTGTTTATGTGGTGCTGAGGAATCGAACCCAGGGCCTCATTCATGCAAGGCAAGCATTCTACCACTGAGCCACCTTTCCAGCCCCTATAAAATTATTTATCAGATCTCTTTACTACATATGGTGTACACTTTTAGGAAGGGAGAATAGGAAATAGATTTAAATACAGCATTAAAACACAAAGAAAACACTAATATTGATGTAGTTGACGTGTGTTTGGTGTGTGTGCACGTGCATGTGAGTGCTTGAACTCAAGGCTTAGATGATATCCTTGAGCTTTTTTTTTTTTTTTAATCAAAGCTAGCTCTCTACCACCTGCCCACAGCTCAGCTCTACTTTCAGCTTTTTGGTGGTTAATTGGAGATAAGAGTCTCATCTCCTGCCCAGGCTGGCTTTGAACTGCAATCCTCAGATCTCAGCCTCCTGAGTAGCTAGGATTACAGGTGTGAGCCATGGATACCTGGAGAAGTTGACTTTTTTTTTTTGGTCGGTCGTGGGGCTTGAACTCTGGGCCTGGGTGCTGTCCCTCAGCTCTTCAGCTCAAGGCAGGCGCTCTACCACTTGAGCTACAGTGCCACTTCCGGTTTTCTGGTGGTTTATTGGAGATAGGAGTCTCACGGTCTTTCCTGCCTGGGCTGGCTTTGAACCGCGATCCTCAGATCTCAGCCTCCTGAGTAGCTAGGATTACAGGCGTGAGCCACCAGCGCCCGGCAGAAGTTGACTTTTTAAAAGCACTTTGAACTTAGGCACAAGTGGATCAATTGTAAAGTCTGCAAAAGTCCACCTCCAGAATAACTAGCAAAAGGCTGAACTGGAGGTACAGTTCAAATGGTACCCTGATAGCCATAAGCATACTGAGTGAGCATGAGGCTCCTGGGTTCAAGCCCTGGTACTACCAAAAAATTACTTTGAATTTCTTTCCACAAGGCTTTTGAAATGTGTTTGTCTTTCATGTTAGTTATTTATGTGATACTTACTGAACAAAATGGAAATAAAGTTTATCAATATGATTCTTAGCATCATTTCAGTCACACAGGAAAAGGAGCTTTAGTTAAGTCCAATAATGCCTCTAAAGGTTTTCCTATTTCTTTCTTTCTTTTGTTTGTTTGTTCTGGGACAGGGGTTTGCTCAGCTAGCATTCTACCACTTGGGACACACCTTCTGCCCAGAATAATCCATATGACTATTCTGCTAGGGCTTGCTTAGTGTCTTGATCTTCTAGGCCTCAGCCTCCTGAGTAACATAAGCGTGTAGAGTTATTCACATCTGGTTAGGTTTTCCTCCTTTGATATTTGATATCCTTTTGGTCTAAAAGAGTGTTAACTAACATCATGTATATAGTTGATGAAAGAAGAAGCCTCTTTTCATGGAGCTATAGTCTGATCAGAAAAAGTTAACAGAAACAAGTAAAATAGTCATCATTACTTTGGATTAATTTTACTAATTAATTCGACAAGATTGATGATGGAAAATAACAGGGCACATCCTAGGTGAGGTAATCACGGAAGAGTCTCTACATTTATGATGGGACCTTGCACCAGGCACTGGTGGCTCACACCTGTAATTCTAGCTACTCAGGAGGCTGAGATCTGAGGGTCATGATTTGAAGTCTGGCCAGGTAGGAACCACCAAAAAGCCTGAAGTGGAGCTGTTGCTTAAAAAAATAGCTCAGGGATAGCACCCAGGCCCTGAAGGCAAGCCCCAGGAGGGGCACAAAAAACCCCACAGAAATAGAACAATGGAGCATTGCTGGGAACACTTGGTTAACATGCGCTACACCTGTTTTAATCCTGAATATACATGATCTGTGTGTGTGTGTGTGTGTGTGTGTGTGTAATAGATATGTAATTTAGGGCATTGAAGATAGAGAGTCTGTTATAGAAGAATGGAGTAAAAATGCTCCATACAGAGTGAACAAAATGTACAAAAGCCTTGAAGTTAGAACTATACTTGAGGAATAGGAAAAGATATCAAACATGACTGTAGTACTAAGTTCTTAGGTTTCCTAAGGGTTCTAAGTTCAAGATAACATCAGAAAGTTAGAAACAGTTGGTATTATAGGTCATGCTAGAGAACTTTGTATCTAGAAGTCATGTATGGGCTTTGTGCAGGAGTTAATGTAATTTGGTGAGTGATATGGAAAGGAAAGTGCATATGTAGTAAATGGATTAGAAGAGTTAAGACTAGAAGTAGGGAGATTGGTTTTAAACTAGAGGATCAATCCATTCTTCTAGGACTGTTTGGAATCAATGATCGAGGCATTAGAGATAGTTGTGTTATTTATAGAAATAATGGAGTTGGCAAGGAATTCCCCCTTGATATTACAATTTGAAATGTGAGAAATACCCAAATGGAGATACCAAGAAGTTATTAAGATACAAGGTTTAAATTCAGAGGAGAAATTTTGACTGGAGACATAAATTTGGGAGTTATCACAATATATAAGGTTTTTTAAGCCAGAGCCTAACCCTAAGAGGTATCATCAATATTTAGAGATTAGATATTGGAGGAGGTTTTGAATTAGCAAAATGATAAGCTAAAGAAGTATGAAAATGCTGGGCCCCTGTGGCTCATGCTTGTAATCCTAGCTACTCAGACGCCTGAGATAAGAGGATCGGAGTTTGAAGCCAGCCTAGGCAATAAAGGCTGTGAGACTCTTATTTCCAATTAACCACTAGAAAACTGGAAGTGGTTCTGTAGCTCATGTGGTGAAATGCTAGCCTTGAGCAAAAAGAGCTCAGGGACAGCTCCCAGGCCCTGAGTTCCAGCCCCATGACCAACAACAACAAAAAAAGAAGTATGAAGAATTGCCTAAAGAAGGTCATATCACAGAAGCTGTAAAGACAGTTTGAAAAAAGCCATAGTACATTAAGGGAAATACAAATTCTCTCACATACATGGAAAAATGATTACTGTTGCTCAGTATAAATACAAATCAAACCAGACTACAAATAATTATTTACATCTTACCAGATGAGAAAAATCTGAAAGTTCAGTAATACTTTTGAGTGATTTGACTGAGGAAATACTCTAAAGCAGTAATAGGCGTATAAATTAGTAAAAAGTTACTCAGCAGTATTTGGTGGCTTAAAAATCCATCTTCCCGCCTCAGCCTTCTGAGTACTGGACTACAGGTACAGGCCATCATATCTGGGTACGAGTGAAAGACTGAAGTTTTTTTTTTTTAATTTTTATGAACATGTATTCATTTCTTTTAGTTATATGTACCACAGGATGAAATTTTAAAAGAAAAGCAATATAGATTACCTTTGTTTATTCATTTAGTGCTGCTACTAGAGCTTGAACTCAAGGTCTGGGTGTTATCCCTTAAGCTTTTTCACTCAAGCCTTGTGCTGTACTACTTGAGCCACAGCTCCACTTCTGTTGTTGTTGTTGTTGTTTTTCCTGGTTAATTGGAGATGAAAGACTCATGAACTTTTCTGCCTGGGCTAGCTCTGAACTAGGATCTTCAGCTCTCAGCCTCCTGAATAGCTGGGATCATAACGTGTGAACTAAGGGTACTTGGCTGACCCCTTATTTAAAACTGGAAAATAGACACTTTTATCCGTTATAATAGGTAGAAATAGTTAAAAATATATTTCTCAGTTCAGAACCGAGGCTTGAACTCAAATGATCAATTTCTTACTTGGCTTTTTCATGTAAGACTGCCATTATACCATTTGACCCACACTTCCACTGCTGGCTTTTTTATTGGTTAGTTGGAAATAAGAGTCTTACTTACTTTTCTGCTTGGGCCGGCTTTGAACCGCAATTCTCAGATCTCAGACTTCTTGAGTAGCCATGCTTACAGGTGTGAGTCACCAGCATCTTACCAAATGTGGATAGATTTAATAGTTGAAAGGTGACAGACATTCCTATTTTCTGTTCCTGGCTTCTCTGGGTGGGTTATGAAGCAGTAGCAGGGATATTTTAACAGAGCTTAAGATAGGTTGCTTATTAATTTCTAGGAGCCAGATTATTTAATAATTTAGTTCACCTATCTTAAGTATGGTGATTCATTTGGTTAATGAATGTCATTATATTGAGGTTTGCAAAGTCATTTAAAATGAATAATTTGACTTTTTCATTTAATTTAATAAGTACTTTTATTAAGCTCAATTTTCACACTCTTAATAACTTACATATCCAGCTTTCTTATCTGCATTTCTCTTAAGATCTTCAGAGTTTTAACTTTTGATGTTCATTAAAAACCATGGTAATTATAGCTGGTAATGCTTAACAATTCAACATGGGATAAAAAAATAATGGACTCTAAATTATAGCGTTTAGACTTGGAAGGATTTTAGAAATTGCTAGGTCAGTAGTTTCTGACATTTTCAAATATACGAGCCCTTTTTAAATGTTGGGTATTCATGACCTCATGATGGTAGTTCTACATTAACTATCACTTGATGGGCAATCCATAATATTAGAAGGTTCTGTAGGCCTAAAATTATAATTTATAAATTGTATAATCATGGACCTGTGAAAATTCTATTATATAATATGGAAATATTTTTGATATTCAGTTTGTGGATAATTCACGGTACCTCTGAATTTGTGGAACCTTTACTATAGTTCAGAAGCTCACAGAGATAAAAGAATAGTAACTACTGGCTTCTTTTGGTTTTTCTCTGCTTCCTACCTCTAACCTTAGCTTTCCTCTGAAGTTTCTGCATAGGTCAAAACTTAGGTTCTTACCAGTTAAAGTAAATTGTTTGAGATAACACAACAACTTAGTGACAAAATACTTATGCATTCTGTATTGAAATAAAGAACAAGTAAAAGCCAAGCACCAGTCGCTCATAACTGTAATTCTAGCTATTC